AGAAATACATACATGCATATATACATAAATAATTATTGTGAAAATTTAATTATTGTTACATACATAGATAAGAAAAAAGCACCGAACCATTTCTTTGAAATACACATATCGAATGGATAAGGATTGAGCCAACAGCTTGTGTGAGCAAATCCAACTTTTGGCAGCAAATGTCAGCTACGGGGTTTTGCAGGATGACGATACGCGGTTTTGTACTTTAAACGACGATATGTATGTATACTAAATTGAATTGAACCGTAGGGTTTGTTAAACTAAAAGGCGGTCCTTGAACACTCACAATTCATCAGAGGTCTGAACGAATTTGCCGGCTCGTCGCAACTGGGGCAGAACTTATTGAAGGGCAGTGCCATCCTTTCGGCATGCACCCCAACGGGCCAGTACAGTAAATTTATAGGCATCTGTTTAGCTCATTCCCAACAGAGCTTTGGTTTTAAGTGGGTCGTAGGACACCCAGAACTGGTGGGTAATCCTGTAAGACCCTCTGCTTGACCTTAGAATGATAAATTTCGGTAATTTTTGTCTTAATCTCCCTGAGCGAAGCGCCCATGTCCACCGCGTGCTGCTCCTTGCTAGTTCGTCCGTTGCCTCGTTTCTGTAAATGTCCCTATGTGCCGGGACCCATATTAAGGTAATTTCATATTGATCAGAAATATAGACCAGCTCCTTCCTACATTAATCCACTAGTTGAGATCTAACAGAGGTAGAAGAAACTGCCTGAGAGGCTATACGAGAGGATGTTCACCTGCGTTCTCGCGGGTACATTCTCTTTCATGTACCTTACTGCCTCCGTTTCGGCCTAGAAACCGCTTGCATAGTCTGTTAGGTGAGAGGATAACTTTAGGTTATATTGCTCAATGAAAACCCCTACACCAACTCCGCATTCCATCTTTGACCCATCCGTAAAGATAGTTAAGCCCTGCAAGAACCCCTTCCTTTTCCTGATTCCAGTCACTGCTGCTTGGTAATTTCGTGCGTGGTTTATGTTGAAGCCAGGTCTTCGACAGGATATAGTCAGTGGGCGGCGCTTTAATTTCAGACGATATAGCGTCTACGATAGAACCGTGCCCGAATGCTCTTTCCTTTCAGAACCGCAGGGCACACAGTCTGATGGCGTTGTTAGCAGCTGAATTTTCGATAAAGATATCTATGGGTAATAAGTCAAGAAGGACGTTCGGCCTATCTCGACAACCGGTTCGTAATCGCCCTATCTCAGAAAATGGCTCAAGGACGCCCTACTTCAGAATTTGATTCAAGAACGCCCTATCCCAACTGCAAATATGTGTATTGAAAATGCGTTGATGTGGGCGTTTTGAAAGCGGCAGCTGGGATAGGCAGTTTTTGAACCGAATTCTGAAATAGGGCGTCTTCAATGGAATTAACTGCTTTGATTCGAATTAACTATTATACAATGCAGGTCAATGATCTTCAATTGATTTCCCGCCTGCTGGTGTTTATCCATAATATTCTGCAAATTAATTTTGTGATAGTTATTTTCAAATTAAATGTTCCACATCCATCCATATGTAAATATATACATACATATGTATCTACTTTTATAAAATTTGCAAATGTCTTCTTTTTTTAATGACTCAAACAAGCCGCGATCAACATAATTGTTTTATGGTGATGTTAAATGGCAATTTATTATGTTTTTTTTTTATTGTCATCTTCGAACTGCATTGCTGCTAATGTCACGCGCAAGCAGAGCAGCCATCGAAGTCCGTTGGTCATGTCTGCCTGCATGTCATATGCACACAAGATATTTGTTTACGTGTATCTGGTATTGTAGATAATAGCCCGCTTATGAATTGACACCATTTCGATCGTTTTTTGTTTTGTTGCCACTTTTGCAAATCTTTGCTTTCAGCGTACGCGGCATACATATATAAATTACAGTGTGTGTCAGTCAAAATCGTACAGTAGTTTGAAAATAAATTTGTAACAATTATAAATAAAAAGTTGTAAAATTTGGATCAAAATTTCACACTTTTTAATCAGAACTTATAGATTGCAGTTTTACAGCACATTTCATTTTAATGTAATAAAGTGTTACTTTCGCTAGTCGCTACAAAATTTTTTGACGGTGTTGCGCCTTTTCTTCTATATAACGCATGAACAATGTATATTTCTATATGGAAGAAAATGCGCAACACCCGCGACAAAAAATTCTAATTTGACTATAACAATGCATACCCAAAAAAAATGTAAAAATTCTGAATGAGAAGTGTGAAATTTTGTTGGAAATTTGAAATTTTTTTTAATTGTTAATTAAAATTAAAAATTAATAAAATTTAAATAAAACAAAATATTTTCAAAATATGGAAAAACATTTACTGTACGATTTTGACTGACACTCACTGTATGTATGTAAGTATGTACATATCAATGCATGTAAATATATAAATTTTAGTCATCTTTCCTATTTGTTTACACCTTAGCAGACAGACGTCTCTTTGTTTTCTTTACTTTGTAGTTCGCCTAGACCCAACTTCAAAACAAAGTAAAGACATTAAATCGTCTCATGAATTCGAGTTATTTCTAGGGTACGAATTTCGGCAAAAGTAAGTTAACCAGATGCTGGAGGGTATCTCTTAAGCTCATTCATACATACACACATATGTGCATACCTACACACACACACTTTCGCATACATTTACATATATATGTATGTGACAGCGTTCGATGCCATTAATAAATCGGTGCTAAATAATTATGTTTATTTATGATGTGTTTTTTGTGATTTTTTTTTATGTATTCGAACGTGCGACACTTAAAAAATTGCTTTTGATTATAAATACAAATGAGCCAATGTTAAGTGAAACTATTTATAAAAGAAAGAAAATATGTTGTGTCCATTTTTTTTGTTATTATTTTTGTTAAAATTTCGCGAACAATCTAATTTTGCGGATTATCAGCAACAGCGATAGTGAATATTCGCCAGCATAAAGGAAGTGTAAACATAAAATAAAGAAGCTACTTCCTAATTTTAAAAATATCTTTAGTCTTTATTTCGTTTTGTATCCTCTGTTATACTTATGTATGTATGTACTAGCAGAGCCGGCTGGTGGTTGTCAGAAGGCTTATTTCCATTGCCGTCTTAAATATATTTTTATATACAATGTACATATGTATTTCGGTATGTGATTCCAATTAGATTGGAGTTGATAGAAAAAATAATTTTTATTTAAATCTAAACTTTACGATAATGGCTAGCTGTTTTTATTGAATTCCACTAAATTGGAAACCAGGTGAATTTATATGCTTAGTGAGGATATTGCGATGGTTACGGCTTTTTTTTTTTGTAAAGGTGGCACAAAACATCGAAAGCCGAAAAGTGTAGGACTCGCCTTTCGGCTCACCGCACTAAAAACCCACCGCTGCTCCGTTTCCTTAACACCGTGGAACTACCGCGAGGTAAATGGTCGAGCACTTCTTATGCAGTTGCCCAGTTTCGGCTAAGAACAGAGCAAGGCAGGCACTTCTTTAGCTCTCTTGCGGAATTAAATTACCTGATGTATTAATACGAAGAGGAATCTAGGCGAAGAAGACGGCCGCTGATCGGGACTCTGATCGTAATTCCGATTGTCTATCATAGCTACTCTGGATTTTTTTTTGCAGGAAATGCTTTTACCAGTATTATATATCTGGTCTGCCTAAATTTTTGATTAGCTTTATGACTTAACATTTTATGACTCAGTTTGTGGAAAACATTTGCCGCTTTTCACAGATAAACTTACGGAAAACCCATTTATTTCCTTTGCTGGGCTATTTATATGTGTGTATGTAAAATACCACCAGTTCCATCAGAATTGGGAAGAACCTCTCCGAGCCGTTTGATACCAACGAAGCTTCAGACGGCCAACCCCCTTTGCATGTGATTTCTTTAATCTGATGTTGGAGCAAATAATAGGAGCTGCAGATCTGAACTACTCAAGTATAATATTTTACAATCGCTGTCTCTGTTCTGCTTTCTCGAAATTAGATGGAGAGGATCTGGTGGTGAATGGGGACCTTTGGAGTATTCGAGAGAAAGATTCCGCGGAAGATTTACACGCACCTGCGCGTTGGCGACGGTGAATTCAGCAGACGATGGCACGATAAGTTGCAGGAGCTTTACAATGATGTAGACATAGTGCGGGGGATCAAAATACAGTGGCTTCGCTGGGCGTCCGTGTTGTACGAATGAACGCAAACTCTTCTGCCAACTCGTAACCAGCGGTGCTAGCAGAGAAAGAGGTTGACCTCCTCTGTGAGGCAAATACAAGGTGGAGAAAGAACCTGACATTTCCAATTGGCTTCAGGTAGCTCAAATCGCTTAGGCGGTTACAATTCAGAAGAATTACCAGACCAGAATGGTAACAGAAGAAGAAATACTAGACCAGGTTAGGTTAAGTAAGGTAGGCTGTAGTGGCTGCTTAGTGGAGACACACTTCTCATTCCGTTTCTAGAAATAAAGCGCGAGATATCGCAGATTCAAGTCTGATAGACATTCAAAAAGGGTTTGGTGGAGACAACGGCGTTTGAGTCTCGAAAATGCCGGATGATGGTAGAGAAGAGTCGTTCCCAATTTCATTCAAATGGGATGTGGGGTGACGATTCCTACAATCATCCTGAGTTGAGGGCTTTCCAAATGAACGATAGCGCTGGTTTTTTCTTTGTCCATCGAAAGCCAGCCTATGTTCATATATGTGTTGGTTATGCAGTCCAACTTTTATGAGCCAGCTTGGTGCAGTAGGCTTTAATCTATAGTCTGAAAAATCATGGGGGGCTTGGGTGGCAGATGGAGCGATCCAGCTCTTGCCAGATTAGAACTGTATCTTGAATCTGAGTATCTAAAATTAAACATCGCTCATTACTGATTTAAGTTTTCCGGTACTATAGAAGTGTTTAAAAAAGAACGATTGCCAGCTAGCATAACGGAACTCTCATAAAGATATAGAAAATAATTGAAAAAACAACTGTTTGTTTTATTTTTTAATAATATATATATGTAAAAATATATACTTTATTGCTTTGCACAAACTATTGTACAAATTCTTGTGGGTATGTATTTAGATGTAAATATTACAAAATATTACCTTTATTTCAATATATCAAAATATATTTATACATAAATAATAAATAATAATAATAGTGCGATAATTTTTGGAAGAACATCGTTAAAAACCAAAGCAATTATAAAAATTTTTCAACACTTTTTGAAATTGCATATCAAATGGTGCCAAAATATCGAATGATTTTCTTCGGCTTTCAATTGAGAAATAGCAATTTGTACTTAAAAGCTAGAAACCATAATTTATCACAAACAAATAAATTTGTGGTAAATTTCTACTCGTAAATACTAATGAAATGTGCCTTTGTGCATTAGAAATATGAAAGTATGTAAGTAAAAAAAAAATGAACTCTGTTCAATGAAAGCGCCAGATGGACGATCATGCATTTGGCCAGTTTGAGCTGCTTGCCGCCGACGATGAAGGTGATGCGATGCGATGCGATGGAATGTGAAGTGATGTTTGGAAGCCTTCAATTGGCAATTTCGGGGCGTATAAGGAACATTTTTGCACTTTTGCGGCGCTTATTCGTTTGCCCGTAGATAGTCGATGCCATTTACATGCCTTCACACGTGGCCATACATGCCTCATAGCTGGAGAAGTTGTTCTCGTTGCCGTCACAGCCGCCGAATTTGAATTCGACACAGGTCTTGCGACTCGGATCATAGCTGAAGCGTGGAATGAGCGCGCGGCAGACACCCTTGCGTATTGGCATGCGACAGAAGGTTTCCGGTGCTGTGCGACCAGATACGGGCACATCGTCCAGTGAGACGGCATCGAAGAAATCGCCTACCTCATCGTAGAGATCCATGGGGCGGGCTTCGACTGCTGGTGTATTGGTGGTGAGCAGAAGCAGGAGTGGTAGAAGGCACGCGACACTGAAGGCGAATTGTAGCCTAGTCACGCGCTTGTTGTTGCAGGCACTTTGGTATTTCATTTTGGTTGCAGTAATTGTTAATAAGTCTTTTGATAGAAAAAAAAAACGGACGAGCCAAGCTGCTTTTCGTTGCTCAGAATTTATAGTAGAATGTTCAAGATGTTTGCACTTTTTCTACTGGGCAGTGTTAACTTTTTTACTTTGCTTAACTTTTTTCACTTCTCGAATAACACTTTGCGAAATAAAACGAATGATGTTTTAAAGATTTCTATTTTAAGTTTATTTTTCGCTTTTAATAAGTCACTTTATGGCTGATGTTTGCAATCAAACTGAACTCGTTGCGGTTTGGCTACGCGATTTTATATGAGCCTGCGCTGTGTGGCCTAGAGTTGTCGCCGGTGGCAAAAAAATTAAAAAAAAATAAAATTGGCGTTACCACCAATACATATGTACGTGCAATAGTTGGCAACAAATACACGCACAGCAACGATCGTCGCCAACACACGCACACACACACACAAATAACTCGTAAATGCAAAACCCCAATTGAAGCTACTCTCCACCTGAGTTGAGTTGGGCCTCAAAGCACTCTTTCATCTACTCTTTCAGCACTTTGTTGCATATTTTCCACTTGGCTTTCTCTTTGGTGTTCAACAATTTGTTTGTTTAAGCTTGATTGCAATTTTTCGCGGGAAATTCCCCGTGAAAACAAATACATAAATGTAAGTAGGTGTAAAAAAAAAACAAAAAAAAAATACTCATTGACATTATGCCTAGCGGCCGTTTCAGAAACCGCAGGTGGTGGAGGAGGCGCACAGTGGTGCACACGCGAGATTCACTATTCAAAAATGTCTGCAGTCTACAATTTGTATTTTTTTTTTTTTTTTAGTTGAAAGTTAATTAAGTTCCTTAAAGGTTTAAGGTTAACTGTAAAAAACAGCATAAATGTAAAAATTGGATCCTTAAATATTTTTTTGAATTGAAAATCCATTAAGTATTATAGGTTTTTTAACTGTATCACTATGGGGCGGGTCACAGAGTTTAAAATAAACTTTTTTGTAACAAAACCTAATATCTGCTGAACGAGAATAGATATATAAGTACTTAAATGTTACGATATCTTAATGCTTTTGAGATGGAGAGTTCAGGAAAAATAATGTAGTTGGATAAAAAAATTAGTTAAAGAAGGCATTTTTTTTTAGTTCGGTTTTAAGGTGCGGGTAATTTTTCGTTCAATCAGAAGTTTGAAATGTCCGTTAAAAAACAGGCCATAATGTATTTAAAAAGTAAATAAAATAGTTTTTCGGTTTTGCGACCATGGAAATGGATTCTTTGGTGCCATAACTGCAAAAATATGGGTTTAAAACTTTTCAAAAAGTTGATTGCGTATTGTTTTCAGGTCAAAAAAAGGAAAAAATTGAAAACGTAGGAATTTCTAAGGTCATCTTAAAGATCAAGGTAATTTTTTAGTATCCAACGAGACTATTTTTGCTGAATACTCCATCTCAAAACCTTCAAAATACCGTTACATTTATTTCGCCGTCTCTTCCCGTTTTCGAGTTATTTTATTTTGTCACAAAAAAAGTTCAATTACCACACTGTGCGGCTTAGATGTTTGAGGTGTCTTTTCGTTTCGTGTACATGTGTATGTTTGCTTAGTGACGACGCATGCGTCACAGTATGTAGATATGCATGTTGTTATCATTAACTTGGGGTTTTCGTTGTTTTACCTGCTTCTTCAAATTTTTTGTTTGCATTCAAAATAGATTTTTTTATGACGTCAATATTTCGTGCAATTATTTATGCATTTACCAACATACATACATACATACATATATGTATGCACAAATGTGTATGTTACATTTATTGAGTTTATAAAGGTATTTTCCCACATAAAAGCAATGATAATTACTCATACGAATTTGGTCTTAAAAAAATAAGTATAGTACATGAAGAAATTAGCCAGATTAAAATCTAAAAGTATCAAGAAACTCACAGCAATAACCAATTAAGTAATTCGTCTGGGACATGAGAGAGGACTATACATTCGTAGTTACCGTGGAAGGGTTTAGAAAAATCTACGTTTTGCTCTTTGTGAAGTCAGTTCGTACTAAGGTATTCAGGTGTTTTCAGCCTACCAGTTATCAGTTAGTACATACAAATCTGTGCTTGTTGTCGCCGTTGGAAAAGTGGAGAAAAACATGGATGCAGCCATTTACATAACAATGCATTATAATATAACTACGTACGTGATTTTCTTAATTATTTGAATGGTACTACATAATTTTCACACTGGGTGATAACAAAGGCTTGGTCGTCGCATGCAATTGCGCACGCGCACACAGCGCATTGGCGTAACTTTGTTTTACGGCTGCATGTTTTATTGTTAACTTCCATTTTTTTTTTTGCTTTCACTTCGTGCGATTTTTGTTTTGTTTTGGCTTTCGTGCGTCTCTTTTGCTAACAAAGCTACCACAAACTTCCGCACGTTGTCTTAATTGAGTTATAAATTGGAGTTGATTCATTAATCAAGCTATTCGTTGTTAATGTTAATCAGAAGCTCATTATTTTATTACAGCAATATTTTCATTTTCAACAGTAGCGGCGCGATAATGTGGACGATTAGCACACGAAAATTGCTACATAGATATTTAAAATCTAATCGAATGCATAACAAAGACAACAAGACTAATATGCAACGAAATTAGGTAATGATCGTAGTTGGGTTCAGCTCACTGGCTAGACCACCGGGCTTTGTACGCTGAAGTTCACAGTGACCTTAATGCAGAAGTCAGATGCGCAGATGTGTGGGTCTCCGAAAATTGTCTCTAAATTCGAACACCACTTGTTCGAAAAAGTGTATTTGAATGTAAGCCATCATTTGGTATCCGCTTACTTCTTTACTGCAATTACCCTTTTTTTGGAAATAAATGATTCCGCCACCCGCATGCTCCACCTCTGCAGACGATGCATTTTTTCATTAGGCATATCCTTCAATTATCTCTATGTTTAACAATAATACTTTATAAAATATTCAATTTAATTCCATTCGGCGCTTACTTTAGATAACAAAAAATCACCTATGCGCTGGAAGAAACGTTCCGATAACCTAAAAAAAAGAAAAAAATAATTAGGTGGGGTTTACCTTGGGTATGTTCATTTGGTAATTTACATATATATTATTATGTAGTAGCTTGTTTGCGAGAAAGACATCATATTCCGTGGATTAAAAATCTGAGAATAACAAAACCGAATGGACCCAAAGTGGTCCAGGTGGACCCCCAAAGGTCCTCGGGAGACTCGACAGGGGTTCACGAAAATTTATCTGGTTTCGATAGTAAAGGACCAAAATGGTTGCTTGATAGCCTATTCATTTAACTTTAATTTTTTTGCACACATCAGGAGAGGAAACTGGTTAGCTCTCTTAATATGCGTAAATTTAAACAAAAATTTGTTAGAGAAAATTTTAAACATTTACTTATGTGCAAACTGCAAAATTGTGAACAATAAATATTTAGAATTCAACAAAAAAAAAAGAAAGCACTAGTACCGTCCTTCTCGAGAGCAACCGCCTCACTGGTGTGATCTTTAAGAGAAATCAATGAAGAATCAAACATTTTACTAAATTTGCGAAGCAGTGTTTTTTGAAACTTGTAGGTTCTCTGGCCCGCCGTTATCCGAAGGTAATCTATGTGGTTAGTCTAAACATTACTAAAGGCCCATACTGTCGTTGCTGTTTGGAGGACTACCTCATCGTCGACGATGTCATGATCTGTTTCTAAATATTCATGTTGTCTGTTCTGAAATGTTAATAAAAAATTTCTCATAATATTGAAATAATTTTCTCTCTGTTTTTTTCCTAACCAAGAAAAAGCATCTTTGAAGAGCTCAACGAAAAAATTTCGAAACAAAATCTATACTTAAAGTAACCAACGAAACAAAACCGTTTGGCATAACCAAATGTGTTTTAATTTGAAGCGATGTGCCCAGAAAGAAACTAAGTGACAAGACCCCAGCACATCGTCCTCCAAGCAGCTGCGACAGTGAGGCTACGGTGTGATATTTAGTCTCACCGCCTGAATACCCATCGGAGAGTGTTCTGTCAAAGCACCAACTAGAATCGAGAATTGCGACTAGGTGAGGTCAAAAAGATCGCTTAAATGGTCCAACCTGGGCCAGAAAGACTTTACGTGTGGAACTGGCTTTGCCTTTGCCCAGTGGTCACGTCCATTAGTACAAGAATATACTGCAAGTAACCTCAACTCTTTCTTTAATCGGTAAGGTCGACTCGCTGGTGCCTCTGCAGACCAACTTATCCGCAGCCCGGTATCCCGCAAACATCACTTTGGCCTGGTGTCCATATAAGCTTGTCTAGCAAATAATCAAATGTTTACGAAAGAGAATGCAGACATTCCTCATGGGCTTTATTGCCGCTTGGCTATCAGCAGAGACTTCTGCCTTAATGGCGGCTACCTCTGCCTGTTAAAGGCTTCAGTGAGGGAGCTCCTTGCAAAACACATATCCACCAACTCTTCCGTAATGTTTCGACCCAGCCATGTAAAAGTTCACCGGTGCCTGCTTTCAACTTCTTCTTCCCGTCCAATTTCACAGTGGGTGGATGATAAGATGAAAACGTAGAAAATTTCAAGAATACAAGAATTTTCCGTTCCCGAGCTAATTAAGCACCTCGGGCCTATAACTCTGACCACAGCCTGGGCCTTAAGTTATGTTTAGACCTCTAAGTCTGACCACAGCATCAACGGACTCTAATTGGGCGGCCCGCTCTATTATTCTGACTAACTAGTTCAGTCTTCTCTAGTGCTTAACTGACTCTTTACGAGCACGCCGTTTTTCTCCAATTTGGCTTCGCTTTGGTTTCGATCTGTCAGTCGGCCGAGTTGAAAATTTGTTAGTTATATTGGCTACCATAGACAGAATCAAATCAGAAAAGGATGCCATCAACTAATATTTTATTCGCTCGGGACTTATCCGGACTGCATTTTTAAGACCGAAAACTATAAGAAACTGTCATAAACCAAGTTCCGCTTTTTATCGATAACACCCAGATGCAGTCAAAGATACAGAATTGATTTGTACAAGACTAGGATGCGAACTAAATATATATATGAAGTAAATTAAAAAATTGCATATTTTACATGGCATCCACTGGCTCCCATTCCCAGCGTGACCATATTTGCTTAACCCCCACTTTATACCTTTCGCCTTCAATTGTTGCACTTTCAACTACCGTAGTTCAGACTGCCCACCTTTGACTGCAAGCTTCCGTACTAGCTCAATCGGGTGAGGTAAGACGAGAAGCGGCAAACGGATGTTGCAGTGTGGAGCTGGCGGCCATC